CCATATAACTCTCCTCTGCCATCTTTTATCATCTCTCAAATACAACGCCCTCAGTCCACACAGAAAACACACCTCTGCTCTACATTATCAGTTTTCTGCCCACCACCTCTCTTGTTCCTCCAACCATTCACATAACTTTCTGTCTCACTCTGTTGAAGTTGCAGCAATTGGTTGTTTGAAAGAAAATTAATCTGCAACTATTCTGATTTGTTTCAGTCATTTTTGATGCAAAAACTGATAAATATTCTCCAGGTTCTTATATATGATGATATGCCAATTCTCTCCCTCATATTTGACAGTAAATAAAATATACTGAGGTTTTGGACTGATGGTTGAACACAACAAACAATCAGTTTGGGCACTGGGAAGTTGGGACAGGCGTTTTTCACTTCCTCTTTTTTATTTTTTTTATTTTTATATTTCATACACTAAATGATTAATCAAGAAAATAATCAGCAGATTAATCAATTAAAATAATCATTAGTTGCACCTGCACTGACAAGATTCAGTAGAATATATCAGAACGTGAGCAACCATCTCTTTGACAGTCTAATTGTGTGTGAATGTGTGTGTATGTGTGTGTGTGCATGTGTGTATATGCGTGTATATGTTATGGACACATGTGCTCCACATGTGTCTGATATCTCCGTCAAAGTAAAACAGTCCATCTAGCAAACAAGATATTGGTTGTTTTTATTGGTCTCATCAAATAGAATTCAGTTTGACACTGAAGATAAGAATGGAAAAAAGATTAATTGAAAAAATAAATTCCCAGAAACTCAACTGCATTTTTTCTACAGCTGTGCGTCAGTATCCATAGTAAAACTTTAGGAACATCTAAGAAACTAAACATGGAGCAGTGATGTTTTAACATTCTCGCCTGGTGCCATCAAGCAGGGTGATCCATAGTTTATCTGTCCCTTTCATCTCTTTGGCATGTTGTTACTTCCATTTGCCTCCCTCAACTTATTTAAGCTCTTTCCATTCGTCCTTCATTCCTATTTTTTGTTTCTTTCGGTCTTTCTACCTCACTGTCTTAGCAGGAGAGCTGGACACACACTGACACTGTTTGACAGAAAGCCATGGAGGCTTCAAAGGTTGTGAAGCAAAAGTTTGTGTTTTGAGAGCTATTATTAACAGAACAATACAAAGTGCATTCCTAGACAGAAGACAAACTCTGGCAAAGATTGAACTGTTAAGTAAAACAACAAACACTTTGGATCAGTTACCATTACTAATGTATTCCCTTACTGTTGGTCCACGTCTGTGGGAAATGTATTTTATTCAGTCTTAGAGAAAGAGGCATCTATACGACTGAATTTACAGATGTACAAGAAAAATATGCTAAAAGGCGGTATCAAACAGGAAACTAAATCATTGTATGTGATACCAAGGATACTGATCTTTGAAAGCCTACAGAATCTCCCTTCCACTCTCTTGGTCACAAGAGGTAAAGCAACAGACTTACAGCCGTGTAATTCAATTTACACACCACATTGCCAGACAATTGTAAATAAATATAGTTCAGCTCAATATGCATAGATGTAGGATTAAAATGCACACACACAGGAAATATATACGTCTGGGAACTCAGCATGTATAATAGTCATCCTGAAACTAAGTGAAGCAGAAACTTTACAATTGTTAAATAACGGAGACAGAAACAATGAAACTGGGAAGTATTTTTCCTGATCTTTTTAGGATTAAAAACACAAACTTGATAAAAGACTGCGGTCTTTTTCCAGTTCCTCGTTTATAAGGGAATTGTTCACGGATCAAAGAAAATGATAAAACAGCCTTTGATGTGTCTGAAATCTGCCTATGAAGCAGAAAACCTCTCTGATGTGAATATTTTTGTAAAAATCTGTTTTTAACAGGGGAACCAGCTGAAAGGGGCGACTGCCAGAGCACCTTCAAAAATCTGAAGCACAAGTTTGTAAAAGAGAATCGAAGAATATCAAATATGCTGCTCATCAAGGTGAAATCTTCAAAATTTGAACTTGGGGTGAATGAAACACCAACAAACTGATGTTGTTTTGGCACCTGTTACCTGCAATTTCATCACTGCCTGCTTTACTCTAATCTGTCTTTCCACCATAGAAATAAAGAAAGTCTCACTGACAGCTACATAAATGTTGGTGTGTGATGATTGCGCTGGTAACCATGGTGTTTGCATTCATGCATTTATCTGGTTTAACTTAACAGTTAATAAATCCCGGTTCTGTTCCAGGTTTTTTTTACTGGATGGAGAGGGGGGTCAGTGCCAGGATAATTTGGCCCTCCTTACATCTGCCATGTCATCTTTAACAATAATTGTAGCCAGGGCAAATTCAGCCATATATGTCAGTTTAAATTTTTCTTGTAGAGACAACTTCACTACAGCTTTTCCTTTTCTTGTCCTTCACACATCTGCTGTCCATCTCTTCTTCCCCATCATCCCTTTATTTGGAAAAGGAATAACAACCTGTCTCCTTTTAAAATACACACACACAGACGCCACATGCATTGTTAACACATCACACTGTTATCATTCCTTTTGCTATCTGACCCAGTGACAAACCCAATCAAAATCTACAGACGGAAAGGAAAAATGAAAATAGAAGCACGTGACGCCTATGAAAACTAACAGAAACAAGACACTAGATTGGTTCTTTCCATTACGCATCTAAACCCATTAAAGTCCAGATGTTGACCTTGGCATGACACGCTTTGAATATACAGTACGTCTAACTCACAGTGCCAATGAATGCCAAGCAACAAACAGAAAGAAACCATGAAACTCTGATCTTATTTCTTATTTTAAACGGAGTCTGGAGAAGACACAGTGATTACTGTCAATCTCCTGGACCCTTAAGCATCCTTGTAAAGCAGAAGCTGGAGCCAGCTGTCCCAAGAGTGGCTGCCTGGTCACACAGCCTTAATAATAAAATACTGCCACTTCATGAAACAAGCCATTCCATGTGTTTCAAATAGGGCATGAATCAACCCTTCAAGTCTGCCTGATGTCTGCCACAGACACAGTGAAACAGAACAGATATACTGTATAACTGGTCCCGCAAACAAGCACACCCATACATGACATCTGTTCAGTTACACTTGGCACTTGGCAGCTAGTTTGGCGCCTTAATGAAGTAATTAGATACCAGTCTTTAACAGTTTGTCACTTCAGTTGTAAAATGTAAAACAATTAAAAGCTTAATAATCATTAAATGAAAAGTTTGACAATTTGGGAAATGTGCTTGTTTTCTGTCTTGCTGAGAGTTAGACCACAAACTTAAAAAATCTGCCTATCAGGTAGCTAACTACCTCTGGAGCTCGAAAGCAAGTTGTGGTTTCGCAGGGAGGTTATGAGCTGGACTATGTCTTAGCTAGGCACTGTTTTATTTTCCTTACCTTTGGACATTTTTTATGCTAAGCTAAGCTAACCGTCACCTGGCGCTGAAGACACTTCAGAGTGTCACTCTCATATCAACCTTTTTCACTGTGCCAAACCTCAGATGCACAGGAATGTTGAAGCTATTAGTTATCCACTTATCCACATGTTCTCAGGCAGCTTTAGTGAGACAAACTATATAAGCAGATGCAGTGTGATGCAGTGTGCTATTGTTCCACAATATAAATCAAGAGCCAGGGCTTGGAACACTTCTCAGCACAAACCACACTTGCCCTAATCAGTTTTAAACTCATTTTTGTGAAAATCCATCAGTAAGACACATTTTGTGATGTTTGATGAATATGCTTTGATGTGCTGCATTGTATATTCGAAATAATCATAATCAAAGCATAGAGTCAAATGAATGCTTCTGTTTCCTGCAAAAACAATTTCGGTTCAAGTGGCCACGTCGTTGTCAGCAAAGCCTGGTGACCTTCCTCGGTGTAAAAACTTTGGCTGCTCATCAAAATATGAACCCCCACTTTGACAAATAGCTCATCTACCAGTGACCTTTAGCCAAGTGTTACGACCTGTTTCCCTCATTATAGAAAACAGTTTGACCATGGATGTCTTTCACTACCAGTAACACACACACATGGAAACCTACAGACTGACCTTGAGTTACTTTAAGCCTTGTGATAGCATGTGTTCTCTGCCACACTCGAGCAAAAGTAAACATATTCAGTCTGTCATCATTTGGACTCAAATTAAAGGACATGCTCAGTTAGCCTCAAATGAGGGGAGGGGTGAAGGAAAGAATAAAAGTCATCAAGGGAGGACAGAATGTGAAATCCAGACACAGAGACAAGCAGAGATTAAGCGATACAATGAAACAAAAAGAAAAGCAAACTGAGCGTTTTACTACTTCAGTCTATTCTGATTTCATGTGTAGCAAAATAAATTCATCACGTTCTACCTGTGTATGCGCCATACACTGTAAATCTGCTCTTTCTTTCATGATTTTGCCTCCAAAAGGACAAGTGTAGGAGCCCTAAATGTCTCACAGTGTTTGAATGAAAACACACATATGCCTACAAGTGCTGCCAAAGAACCAGACAATTCATACCACATGCGAACCAATATGAAGCCAGACAAACGCACACACACACACACACGCACACAGGCACTGTAACACAACTGCTTGTGATAAATCAGCTCCACTGTACAACAGGATTCCACCAAATAGTGAAGAGTAGGCCGTGGGGAAGATGGGGTGGTCCACACATGTGATGCTCTCGTTGTGATTTCAGTGATTCCTCTTTCCTTTAGGGAATGGGAGATCAGGCAGAACTAATGGTGCTGCTGTGTGTTAGAGCTAAGATTAACTCCTACAACAACACTGAACATCTGCCTGGACGCGGGATGTCTGGAGTTGAAAGGGGAAGCATGGCCTTTAAATTTGACGCAGAGACTGGTTGTTAGGGAGGGTTTCAAAGGGAGTGTATGGATCCTGTGTTGTCACTTGAGATAAATGGCTAGCCGCTCACATTCACACGTTAAATCATTGTAAAGTGAAGTGGCTTGGTTACAGACACACATGCACACACAGTGTGAGGTCATAGCTTACTTCTGCAGGGTGAGGCTGAGGTTGTCAGTGCAGCTCTTGATCTTGTTCTGGGCCTCCAGGTGGTTCATGCCGTCTGTGGCGATGCCGTCGATGGACAAAACCATGTCACCAACAGCCATACGAGCTTTAGCTGCCTTCCCACCATCCGTCAGCTGCAAAAACCACAAACAGTTTAAATTATCACCAGCAACGTCACAGTCAGGATTATTAAGCATGAGGGTGGGTCAAGGTGATGTCGGAACTTCACATCCACTCTGTAGTTATCACAAGATTTATGGATCCATTCCATAACACATGTATTTGGGCAAAGATAATGAAAGACTTGGTTCTTTACCACATGATGGAGAATACTGTACATTCACTGATGTGTGTTTAATAGCAGGGGCCTTCATTTTGAAGTTACTTTTGTTTCTTCTTTATGACCTGTTGTGATGTTTGGCTTACAGCTTGTTAGAGAAAAAAGAAAGTCTCTTAACACACTGTGTGAGAAAAAACATCACAGTGAAAATATAATGCTTGTGTCTAATGTTTCCACTACTGTTTATAATGTAGCCATTTCGCATTGGTGGGTTGTTTAATCGAAATGATGACAACGGCTGAGTGAACGCTCAATTTTAAATTAGATCACAACAAATGTAGAAATAATGAACTGAAAGTTATATCTTCATGAATGTAGCATATGGACGTTGACATAGCACAGGGCATTTTTTAGAGTTTAGAGCCAAATTTCAAAAGCGCAACAGCAGCAGTTTAACTAAGAGGTTCCAGTGCTGCTGTTTTGTAATGTCTGCTTCAAGCTAATTAATGAAGCTTATCCTGACACATACTTTACTGTTACAATAAAGATCAAGTAAAGTGAATCTAGTCCTAGTAAAAAGCAATTACTCCATTATTCTCCGTACAAAATACTGTTAAAAAGGTGACAAATAGCTAATGGGACACTACATGGTGGAGACACATACCAGTTTTATGGGCTTTGTGGAAACAACAATTACAAGCCAGACATCTCTCAGTTTGCACACATCATAAAATATGCATACACTCCATTTCTCTTGTCTCTGGTTTTCAGTGTCTTCCATGATTTTTGAGGGATGCTTTAAATATCAGCATCTAAACAAAGTGTAATTGCTGCACTTCCACTCTGGAGGAAGCTGGTTAATTTGAAACAGATTCAAGCCACACAAAAGAACTCATGTCGAACCGCAGGCCTGGTATTTAATACCAACCCTGCTGTTCAACATGGCTTCAACATGCACAATTCCTGTGCTGTATTAATTCTGTTTGTTTCAGTAATGTTGAATATATAATTATAATTATGCAGGGGGAACAATTATAACATTTTCCACTCATATGTGGCGTTGTTGTCCATTTATTTGTGAGCAATACTCAACATATTTTGTAAACAAGTGTTGGAGAACAGTTGCGGGGCAACTAAGCATTTAACAGGCAGATAAATTGGCCTGAATTCACACCAAAATAAAATCAAATTAGATTAAATGTGTCATTATGTGTTCTCTATTTTTGTGCTGAAACTAACCCTATTTCCTTCTTGGTTAAGTTAAAGTGTTTTCTAAGTAGATTTATACACGTGAGACACACAAAATTTGTAAGCAACAGTGGCACAAATGGAAAAAAAAGGCAAAACAATTGATATTCCTTTAATTCCTGCCGCCAACAGACAGGGCGACACACTGTGTTAGCATGTGTCATATAAGCCAGAGTCCCTCTTATCAGCACGCTGAGGGAGGAGAGTGACAAATTTGGAAATGTGCGTCTGATGTTACACTCTCTATCTAGTCTTTTTCCCATGACGCTAAAGCACTGTATGTGGGAACAACGTGAAGGTATTACTATAACGACTTACATTCATAACAATTATTGCCATGCAATGAATTTACAGCCAAAGTGTGAGCAACAAAACACACTAACAGCTTGGTCTTGTGTGTTTGTTTCGTTATTAATAAAATAGCACCTGGATATTGTTTATTATTAGAGAACAAAAGCACCTTGCAGCTGCAGTTCTGACCATTCTTGGTCACACACAAGGTCCAAGTGTGTCCAAAGGGGAGTGAGGTCATTTGTTTCTTTTGACACCATGAAAAAGGGCCACACGGACCACTTCACTGAACACACACATGCACACACAGACCACTTTTGTGGTTGTTCTTGCTAAGAAGTGCCTCTTACTCTTACTGACTATACATCAAGTGCAGCTATTGAATTTGGTGGCTCTTTAAGAAAATGTGTTTCTACTGAATCTGAAGTGACACTCAAGGATGAGAAAGTGTAACAAGGGTTTAGATCTAGGGACATCTTTGGTGTGTTACATCCCCCTCTGTCTATTTCCTTTGCCTCTATATTTGTCACTCACACACACACACAGACACACACACACACACACACACCCACACACACACACACACACACCCACACACACACACACACACACCCACACACACACACACACACACCCACACACACACACACACACAAAGACAGACAGACAGACAGACACAGGCAGGGCTAATAAAAGAGGCTCTGCACTCGGATTAGTGTTAAGGCTCTGCGGTCCCAACCTTTTATAGTCATATTAGCCCAACACACGCAACATCACTCATCACCACTCACAACCACAGAAGGCAGGAAGAAGAGGGTAATAAGGGATCGACTTGACATTGATTAAAATTGCGGGGACGGAAAGGAAGGGAGAAAGAGAGGGAGAGGAGGAAAAAAAAATGCGACTGAGTATTTTGAATCTGTGGGCTCTTTCTTCTTCTGTACATTTGGACCCATTTCCAGGGGTGTGTTCATGCTAACCACTCTGGCACTATTATGGACCAAACTCTCGCCACAAAATGTTCAATTATATGTTTTCCCCAATTAGTGCTCCGTTCCTGCCCCTTACCCACACAAATGCTACCTCTCTCTCTCACCACATACATAGAGAAACACTCACCCGGACTCATGAAACACTGCTCTGTTTCCCTCTGCATCAAAAGGAAACTGCAGCCATACAAGAGAGTTCAACTGATTTTGAACAGGAGAACATACATCAGGCAGAGATGAAAAACATTTTTAATTCGTGCTGTAAGTATTTAATATGTCTTGATTCAATATAAGTCTAAAGGAATTGTTCTTGCTGGTAGGAGATCTGTTTTCAAAAGCAAACATTTGCTTTCAATCACTTTGATTAAAAAGATTTCAGAGCTCAAAGTAGTTTCAATTTTCATATCAAAGAGAGAGAGCAACAAATCACTGAGAAAATCAGAAACAGAAATCTAAATAATCTGCCTATGCAAGAAACCAAGCACTTAAAGTTTCCCAGGGTACTTGATTTATGGCTTTGTTTCTTTGTCCATGACAGAAAACAGCAGCTTTAACGCAACGCACATATCCATATAAGGAGGAGAATATATGTAGAATACACACGCATACAGTACATGTACTTCTCTGACAGCAGCTGAGCAGTGCTCCCAAATTCGCAGAGACATCAGTTCACACATGACCACAATTTTTATCAATGATCCACCACCAACACAAACATCCCAAAACAGAGAAAACTAAAACAGTTGAGAAAGAGAATAGAGATATCCCTTCACCTCAGTCCTGTCAGACTGGGACTTGTTAATCTCACAATTTGAATTTACACCCAGAAGAAGCCTGCACTAAAATCCTTGTCAGAAAATGGCAGAAGATGTATGAGTGGATAGAAAAGCCTACTCTTAAGCAAGCTCTAATATAGATTTTCTACATGGATCAAATGTTAAACGGGGAGTGAACATTGTGCTTACATTAATGAGGTGGCCAGACATTTCTCCTACTTCTTCCTTTGCTCCAAATGAGCAGGAGTCATAATTCCTACAGCCACTCAAGGGATTTGTCACTTCAACGTAAACAAAGCTTGTTTTGGGATATTTGCTGAAACAACTGATGCCGTCATTTTTCTTGGGAGGACAGTCACATCTCTAAAGAAATGCTAATGTTGCTCTACGTCTGCTATTTTTAAAAACAAGTTCACCAACTTTATAAGGGTAAAAGTCTGTGTTTTTCAAGTTGTTGTGGAATTCTCCTGCCCTTAAGTGGCCAAAAGAATCAATGTCTTTGCGCAGCTTTAGTTAAATGTCACAATTAATAAAAGCTGCTTTTACGTTTAGTTTTTTTTTCTTACAAAATCCTTTATATTCTGTATTTCCATCATACACTACCTGTGTGTAAAATCCCCCTGCCTCATTATATATTCATGCAAAAGTGAAAGGGTCAATACTTGTGTCATCACTTATTCAAAAGAATCAGAAACACACGTGCAGTGTGTTAAAAGCCTGCACATATGAACTTGCCATTGTGCTTCCAGCTATGTCAGTTTTCAACACATATGCTGTCTGATTTAAGTGCTTTGAAAAAAAAAATCTAGTTTCCACACATAGCAATAAAGGTTTACTGGAGTCCTGCAACATTGTCTGGTTTGAGCATAACACTGACCAGTTGAAGAGCTTTGAATAATGCCTGCTTTCAGCACAGGGAGTGACAGTGATGACAGGCAGATGGTTCATGTCACGCTATGACTGAAAAGCTGAGAGCAGGAGACACAATTACCTCACTCACACTTTCAAAAAGCTGCTCCCATGTGCCAGCCTTCAGAAATATTTATTTTAGTTCAACCTTGCTGCGTCAGGACTAGACATTAGGTTATCTTTTAGTGTGAGCCTACATGTCAGGAAATGTTCCTGTATTGCATGTTTAAAATTGTAATTCGGAAAAAAAATGTCCAAAAACCCTTGCGTAATGTTTTTCTATCAATATAACATTTTATCAACAACCTTATTATTTATTGGCCAGCTCCCCGCTTATAACCACAATAGGGACATTAAAATGAAGTGTGCAGGAAAATAACATGACAACTGCAGTGCTCTGATCTCTTAGCAACACAGAAAACAGCAAAAATAACAACAACAAAAAAGCCGTTATATGAAGAAGCACAGTTATGTGAAGAACAGACAGATTGAAGGGTAGTCAGATGAGAATGGAAGAAATAAAGGGGTGAGTGAGATTTATGAAAGAGGTACAGGGACAGAAAGAAGTTAGCAGAAAGTAATGGGAAGATTAAGAAAGTGCAGGAGACAGAAGCAGGGACTCAACCCACTGGTATGGATCC